TATATATATATATATATATATATATATATATATATATATATATATATATATATATATATATATATATATATATATATATATATATATATATATATATAAAGTTTAAAAATAATAAAGCATTAAATTTTTCCTTTGGTTTTGAAATTATGAAAGTGGCTGCAAGTCAATAAGCAACTAAACTCAAAATCCCAGTTCTCAAACCTAATATACTACTCCTACTAACACTAAATTATTTTCAGCATATTCACTAGCAAGACAAAGTATTCTAACGATTATGAGTAGCAAACTACAATGAATTGAATATGTTTCCTTCCGTATGATTTAGATTTATCTTTTTGAATGTTTAATCTTCTATAGATTTTATTCTTGAGTCCCAACTTGGTCCATATATTTTCACTCTTGTGACTTTTTTTTGTCTTTGCTTAGTTTCTTTTACGGTGCTATGTAGAATAGTTGACGGATCTATACTCTAGCGATCTTTCATGTTTTTATAATTCATCACCCTTTAAACAATAAAATATCTAGGCAGTTTTGCTAAGTCTTATAAAAGTATATATGTTATTGCATTCTACTTTATACTAGTAACTTTTACATATTTTAAAGAAAATATCGGAAATTAACCGAACCGTAACGATACCGAAGAGAAACCGACATGATTGGGACGGTTTCGAAAAGTCTAATTTTAATTTTACATTATTAAATAACTAAAAAATTAATACGGTATATATTTTCTAAAATAATCGGCCGAACCAAACCAATGACACCCCGTAAAATAAAAAAGAAGCAAGTAGGGAAGTCAAAGGGTAACGTGGACCAGCAGTCAACAGTTAATTTTATTTCTTTCATCAACCAACTGTAAACTGTAAAATTGGGTTCAGACAAAAGTAAATTTGTGCAATTAAGCCATCGCATAACACGCTACTTTCCAAATTAAGGCAGGCCTTAAATAAAAGGTCTAATAAGTTCGCCGGAGATATTGAAAATTCAACAAAATTCGCTCAACCGCCGGCAGCGCCACCACACCTAAACATGGCGATGCAAACCGGCGTCGCCACTTCTAAAGTACTGATACTAGTCGGCGCAGGTAATTTCTCCAAAAAACATATAAAATTCATAACTTTATATGTTTATACTCCATTTATAGTTGCTTTATTTCTAGTAGTCAATTGAAAGGAGGAAAAGAGAGAGAGATTCGTTTTGGTTCTGAAAGTTGATGAAATTAGCTTAATTTAGCTGATAACTTGGAACCTTGATCTAATAGGAAATCAAACAAGCAACTACGCTTTGTTCATAGTTAAGGTGAACTATATGAATCTTCTATATTCCTTCTGTTCTATTAAGTTAATTGAGTACTCAGAGAATTTCTTTATGACGGTAGAGTCCGGGCCAACTTGCATGCATTTCGACCTATTTCATCCGGTATTGGGTAACTCTATCCATCAATGCTTAGGCAGATTGGAAGATGATCACCTAGTGTTTTCTTTTTTATGACAGTGGTCTTTGGGCCAGTTTGCGCGCACCTCTACCATTCCATCGGTTACATGCTACCTTCCAACGTGAGGAGGTAACAGTTAACTATGCCCACCAAGGTTTTGGCAGATAAAAGGATAATCACCTACTGGTTTTCCTTCCGATGATTTGAACCTGAGATCTCGTCGTTCTCCTCCAACTTCGTTGACCACTAGGCTACATCTTTGGGTGTTACATTGGTCGTTAACCCTCCTTTATATCCAGCCTTGACATTTTCTAGACGTGTTACCTCTAAGAGTATTGCAGAGCAGAAATTTCATCAAGGCTCGATATAATATTGGATGTTGGGGAAGAAAAGCAGTCTTAGATTATTAGCATCTCCAAATTTTGTTGCGGTTTTTGATTGGAGTTAATAGTTCCTTCAAATTTTATAGGTTCTTCTTTTTGGGACGTGATAGATTTGGTTCTGGTGTAGGTTTGACTGGGTCAGTAATATTGAAGAGTGGAAGATTATCTGATCTTATCTCACAGCTTCAGGAGGTGATAAATGGAGTGAATGCGGCTGAGACATCACCTGGTAGATATGATACTGCTCTTCTAGCAGCTCAGGTATACATTTATGTTTTTCTTACATTTATCTTGTGCTTATCAAAGTAGATTCATCAGATGTTTTGAAGGTAAAGCATATAAAACAACATAAAGGGAAGGAACATACAATTTTATTCAAGACATTATGTAATGTGTTACTTCAGATTTAATTGCAGAGAGGAGGGGGAAAACTAATCACATGATTAAGGGAAGCCATTTAGCCATTTCAAAAGCGTTTATCATAAAGTTTACTTCGAAACTCGTTGGTACCATCTTCGTTCCTCGAATAGAAGAGCATATTATTTTTGTTGACCTGAAATAAGTAATAAATAAATAAATAAAAGATTCCTCTTTGTAATGGTTTAAGCTTTTAATAAGGCAGTCACACAATTCAAGATGATAGCATAGTATGCAGACGTCCTGGGTTTGAGTTTCGGCTCCTTCCATCAGCAAAAAATATTTACACACTCTTGACTCAAGAAAAACAATCAGAATAGAGGGCGTATTGGCAACCTTGATAAATAAATAACTAAATAAAAAAGTCTTACTTCTGATGACTTAAGCTTTTAAACGAGCTGGTCAGTGGTCAATACAATCAACAGCTTTGAAGCATTACTCTCACATAATATGCTTCACCAAGGAACTTGATTTCTGCTTGTTAATGTGCGTGGCATTTATATGTTCTCCTTCAGAGTTCATTGTGTACGAAACGTAGATAGAACGTAATTTTAGTTCTGAATTCACAAGCTGTAGCTTGATTACTTCTTTCTTTTTCTTGTCACACTCAAACAACTCCTGATTTGCACTTTATAAGATGGAGCCAATATGGTTGACACTTGGTGGAAAAGGTTCTTTTACTGAATTGGTAGCCTTCTTCTGGAAGCAAATGCAAAGCTTGGAGTTGTTGTTTGATTTAGAATTGACAAAAATTTTACTGATAAAAAATGGAATATGCAAAAACTTTTTGCCTGGTCTTCCATGATGTTGAAATTTTGAGGCCTGCTGAACTTCTTTGATATCATAGTGTTTAACATCGTAACATCAAATCTCATATATACACCGTAGGTGAACATATTAACCATCCTTTTCCACCCCACACCCACGCCCCAAAGAGGAAAAAAATAATTATGCAACTTAAATGGTGGTAAGTGATAGAGCTCCTCATAAATGATACTTCAATCAATCACTATGGGTTCGGCGATATGAATCCTGTGTATATGTTACTTATCCAAAAAAGAAAGAAGGGGCCGTGCTATATGTTAGTGTAATGTTACGATTAACAAGTACTAGCATGTTTCTTAATATAACTCCACTTTGTTACCTCATCCAAGCCTTTCTTGGTTCTGATATTGCCTTCAGATTCGACAATTAGCACAAGACATTCGGGAGATGAGCATATCAAATCCAATTACTATTTATAAGGATTCTTCCTCCAATGGTATGTTTTTGTCTTTTTATGTTCATTTTGAATTGTGTAAATCTTACTGCAAATGCTGAATTCTCTAGAATGGAGATCTGTAACTTCTTAAATGTACCCTGATACCTGATAGTTAAGTTTTGAATTATGTAACTATGGTTCCTGTTTTCAACATGAAAAGTGGAAGCTCTTTAGGCCCTGTTTGTTTGTAGTCTTCCTTAGTCAAGAGGAATATTTTCTTACATTTTTGTTTCCTTTTCTGCAATATTGCTCTTTTTTATCACGTACCAAACACACGCACTTGGGGCTAGAATATAAATACCCTACTTGTCCTTTATGGACGATCTAGTTGAAATAGAGCTGACATGGTTATGGGCCTTTGTTTCTTTAGGGAGCTATGCTTCTTACATTCTTCCAGCTGCGGCAGTTGGGGCGATGGGATATTGTTACATGAAGTGGAAGGCAAGTGTTCACTGCTGCAATTTGTATCCATTGGCACCCAAGGATTTATTTTGGAGTTTTGTTACATTCTTTATATAGTTGTTATAAATCGCACGTGCTCTTGCTAATCTTCCACAGGGTTGGTCATTTTCTGATGTAATGTATGTCACAAAGCATAATATGGCGAATGCTGTTGCATCTGTGTCTAAGCAGTTGGAGAATGTATCAGAGGCATTGGCTGTGAGTCAAGAATTCGATTTCGTGGATTATCTGTGTTATATATGCTAACAACTGTTCTCATTCTTCTTTCACTTCTATTTCTTTTGTAGTCTACAAAAAGACATCTGACGAAGAGGCTGGAAAACTTAGACTGGAAGCTAGATGAGCAAATTGAGACATCAAAACTTATTACTAATGATGTAAGGAGAGCAGCATTTCTTCCCATTCTCCTTTTAACATTGATGTATTAGGATGGATTCTTTTATCTTATGGGTAAAGTAGTTTCGCATAACTCCTGTTTTCTCACCAACATGCCAAAGGAAAAAAGATATGGAAAAATTACGCTCAAATACAATTGATACCATGATGCTACTAAAATTGACCCATATTTTTAAATGCTACCAAAACTAGCCCACATTGTATATGATATGTAAAAATTATTTCACCCTTTAGCCCTAATAGTTGCTAACAAGAACAAACAAATGCTAAGAAGACTTTCCCTCTTTTCCCTCGTCTTCTTCGCTGCCTCCTCACTCTTTCCATCATCTTCTCCACCAGAACCCATTCCCTTTTCTGTCTTCCATTACTCTCTGTTCGTTCACAGAAAATATTTCCTTACCTATTTCATTTTTTTCTTTGTCACAACACATCCTTGAAATTTGAATTGTAGTTTTAGATATGAAAAAGCCATCTTCGTTGAAGCTCAAAGCTCCATGATATGGGCCGTGGATGTCCCTATGCATTAAACTCAATTGTGTGAAGAATTTTGGGCGGAAAATTTTCGATTCTACTGCTGGGTTTTCTAAAAAATCGACTCGAATGTTTTGAAACTTTTTAATTCGAATAACACTGTGAGTTCGTGCTTCAATTTGGATGGGTGTTGATTAATAATGGTATTATTAATTGGTGAGGCAAATTTTTGGTGTTAAAATAAAGGGGTGGTGATGGACATAAGGTGTTTTCTAGTTTAAATTTTGTATAATTGGTATTTATACACACTTATACAATATTGTATAAATTATGTATAATTGTGTATAAATATGTATAAGTATGTATATTTGTGTATAATGTTATATAAATATAATTTTTTTTCATTGTACAATATTGTGTGTGTGTGTGTGTGTGTGTGTGTATATATATATATATTGTTAGTGTATAATTGGCCTCTGTGAAAGTGTGATACTTTCTTCTCCTCTTCTTCTTCTTCTTGTTTTTCTTAATTTTTTTATATACATTATTATATATTTCATATATAAATTTATACATTATTATATATATAATGTACATGTACAATTAAAACTAAAATTGAAATGTTTGTATTTATTCTTACTTTTTCTCGGAAAATCTATATATAAAATCAATTTATTTGTGTTTTTTGCCAAATTACAAACTTGCAGCAATTTTTTTTTTTTTTTTTTTTTTTTTTGATTTCTACCATTTGAAACTTGGGGAAGAAACAAATATAAGATTTGACAAAGATTTCAATTACATTAATGGTTCTAAAATATATCACTATTCTCATTTATCATTTAAACGGTCTAAGTCTCCTCTAGAATTGCAGATGTTTCTACTGCTTCTACTTCTACACAATTTTACATTAAGAAAAGCAAATTCAAATATAAAAGCCTTACGTGTTTTCAGAAAATAAATGCCACCATTGAAGTTGATTGTTTCAATTGGAATGCGTAGGAATTTATGAAGAAGGAATAATAGCAGTAGTTGGTGGTGTAAAAAAGCTTTTTTCGGACCTTGACCTTTTATCTTTGGGCTATAAATTTGTAAAGTTGTAACTGGGCTAACTAATTGCAATATATGTGTATGAATTGTACTTATGTGTAATTCTCCCAAAAGATATTAGGTTCTCTCTCGGTTGTAGTGAAGAACTTTTTTTGAGGGGAATGAGGTAGGAATCAACTCCTTTGTAAAACTTGAGAGACGTATAACAGAAAATTACTGGGAGAAACTTGTCGTAAGACCTGAACTTTGTTGGTTGTATGTCAAAATAGAGGTCACAGAATAACTCACTGGCAACTTGCTTGAATATCTTAGTAATAGCTTTTATGTATCGAGGCGCGTGGAGACTTTGTTTGTCAATGCTCAACATCAGATGTTTCTTTATGCAGGTGAGAGACGTTAAGGCTAATCTGAATCAAATTGGTTTTGATATAAACTTAATCTATGAGATGGTGTCTGGATTGGTAAGTGCATTGCTTGACAAATTGTATAAATATGGTAGTGCTAGTAAAAATCTCCTGGCTAGTCATTTTGTAATTTTCCAGTTGTTGCTCAATTTGGCAGGAAGGGAAGATTGAGCTTCTTGAGAGTAAACAGGTGAATATCTGAATGTGTTTGTAACGTGCTACTTGTTCCTATGTTCTGTCTATCGTTATTGCAGTTGCTTCACAAGTTGTGCTTGTTTATTTTTCCCCACCCCACAGGATGTGACTAATTCTGGTTTGTGGTACTTGTGCCAAGTTGCTGGGGGCATTAAGGAGGGTCAAAATCCTAAAGTTATTCAGGTATTTTTGTGTTCATGTATGAAAGCCTTTTGACTATTGTTGTTCTTCCTCTTTGGTCTCTTTCTTCCTCCCACAAGGAAAATAAGGAACATCTTGAGGCTTTTCTTGTCTTTTCTCCATTGCATTTTCAATGCTTGCTTGCATGTTTCTATCGCGTTTTGAATCAGTGTTTGCATTTCCGATTAGTGTTGTGATCTCCGGTTGTCACTGTCTTTTCCATTCTGCCGACCATTGACTTTCTCCTTTGGTGCTTGGCAAATGATCCTAATTAGATTACTCGAAAGGACTTTGTAATTGACCTAAACCATACAGACTGTAATTATGCTGCTGCTAAGAAAAACTTTGGCGTCTTTGCATGATATCAGATGTTATTGGTTGTAATAAAAACACGATCTCTTGGAAATTTTTGATGTTTGTTACTCCTACTTTTTGCTGGCTATGCATTAAAATAGAACTGCAGTTTTGCTGTCTCTTTCTTTGTGGGAAAATATTCCATTTGCCCTTCATTGTTCCTATTTGTTCGAAACGTACACATGTATTCTTATTTTGGCAATTGGATTCCGGAAAGGGCATCGAGGCTAAGCTGATAGAGCATTCAAAGGTGACTCCCAAGGAAAACTGGGTGAAGGTACATCGACTCTCTCGAACCTGATTAACCGGGTTTGGTTGTTCATTCAATGGTTCACAACGTCTAATCTAACGATTTATTATAATTCAGGGGCTTGAGTTCATTGCTGAATCTAATGAATCAAGTGTGCCACCGAAATCGGTAACTGATACTGAAGGAAAAGGTCTTAGTGACAATTCTGCTAAAGGTCCAGTTGCTAGCAAAATGAGGATTCACAGATCTTATCCTGTTGGGTTGTCTTTAACAAGGAACGTGTTGGGTCCAGGATTCTGATCTCAGCTTTTCCTCTATTCACAGTTAGATTACTTGGATGTGATTACCCAATTCATTTTGTTTATATATTGATCCATGGCTGTTTGATTTTGACGCCTGTGGTTGCGGACAACATTATACATACATGGTTGTCTGTTTGTTCTTTCTTTTTCTTCCTTTTAAACGTCATATAAAGCTGTATTTGTAAAAATATAATAAATGCACCTCATTTTGGTCATAGATTTGGAGCCATAAATTTTGTAAAGCTGTGCTAAAAACTGGCTTGAACCTCGATAAAGAGAGAAAGATAACGCCATTGCTTAAACCCCTAGGCCAAGATAGAGAATGGATAATGAGCACTCAGATTAGTGGTGGCAAAATGGTTAAAAAAAAACTGTTATCCACCCATATTATTCATTAAAAAATAGGTTATATAATGAACAAGTGGATAGCCACCGGATAACCAATGGGTTTAACTTTACATTTGTAAAGCCTCAAATTGGGATTTCTCAAGTTTGGAAGACTTGGAGTTCTTCCAAAAGTGACCATATTCAAGAAGCCATGGATAATGTAGATATCCTTATTATCAGCCAGTTAATCTGTTTTTTAATCTGTATTAAATATGGCTCGGGTCGGATAATTCACCCAGCTTTTTCGGGAGAAATTCAAAAACAGCCAGATTTACAAGTGGTCGTTCAAAAATAGCCCAGTTTCAAAAGTAATCGAAATTTAGCAACTTTTCATGTAAAGATAAATCTGAGCGAAAACACTGTTCAAAACCCGGAAAATACGCCAGTATATTATGATAGAGTTCCAGCACAAGTATACTTGAACTCCAGCATATTATACTGGAGTTCCAGGATAAGTATGTTGTTCTAGGATAAGTATGCTGGAACTCCAGCATAATACGATGGAGTTCCAGCATAATATACTGGAGTTCCAGAAAAGTATACCGGTCCAGTATAATATGCTGGAAGTTCATACACAAGTGCTCGAATCTCTAGTATATTATGCTGGAACTTCCTATGTGTTGGAGTTCCAGCATAATATGCTGGAAGTTCAAACACAGGTGCACCGAACTCCAGTATATTATGCTGGACCGGTCTCTGTTGCAGCAAAATAGTGGCTACTTTTCATTGACTTGGTAAACACTGATTATTTTTGAATGACCAATCCGAAAACTGGCTAGACCGTGCTATTTTTACATTTTTTTTCATTACACATTTCAACACATCTATATCCAACCCGACCCGGGCCGTTTGCCACCCCTAACTCAGATCATCGGTGTCAACTAGTTTGAGAAACCACTAGGCCAAGGTATAATGAGCATTCAAATCATCAGTGCCAACTAGTTTGAGATTGACGCATATTGTCATTCCCTAACTAATTTGGGATTAAACCATAGTTGTAATCTAACACAAATATTAACAATCGCCATATGGCTAAGTTCGGCCAAAAAAACAACAAAAATGTCTCAAATTCTCAATCGATGGTACAAGTACATTTGATACATTCTTGGATAGCTCATTTGTCCCTTCTTCTTACTTTGCAACATCTCGCAAAATCAAGTCGAGAAGAAAGTCCGAGAATAAACAAATCTAAGATCTCCAAACGGTCTGAAGAAATTGAAACATTGCCTCCTGAAACTATCTCTTCTTTTTACCCCCCTTCCCAGATTTTGAAGAACCAGCTGCAGAAGAGGATGCAGGCTCCTGCTTCTTAGTCCTATTAGGATGTCTCCGGACCAACTCTGCAACATGGATCATCAGCTGTTTCCCTACAATATACAACAACAATACAAGTATTAAAGCTGGTTCAAATTAGCTTTAACAAAAACAAATTACAGGAACTGAACTAGAAAAAACAAGGAAATATCCTTAAATACCACAAACATCAATAAAAGCTAACTGTATCACATGTACTTTTTCTGACGAGCACAACCGTGTTAGTGATGTTACTCGATTTCTTTCAAAACACGATGACATCTGTCATAATTAAAAACAACCTCCATACGTGCACAATGCCTCACATAACTAGAGGCTCTCAAATTATTTTAGATAAGCCAAAAAGATTCATGAATAAAAAACCAAGTTGATGTCAAGGAAAAAAATAAAGAAGAAAAAAGAACATGTACAAGAAGTGCATGTGGCTCTCAAATGAATTTATACAAGTAGGAGTTGCTGGGATACTCCCCAAGGATAAAGGTTATTATATCTTTCTCATGCTTTCACATTGAAATACTTTTAATGCCTGAGACCCGAATTACCCCGGTATCACAGAAGCTCCTTCACAGCCAATTTAGTATCTTAAGCCAAAAATTAAGAAAGCATTTCCCAATTTCTGGCAGGGAAAAACAGTCCAATAAATTTCTTGTTATGCTGCTGATGTCCGCAATTGAATACATACACAAACTGCAGTAGAAAAGATCAATAAAATCTCAAATGGCGCAGCCGTCTTTGCAGTAGGTTTCTTATGAATTAAACAGGCCCTTATCTATTTGGGTTCGGATACACCTCTATTTCCCCACTTCTACTTCTCATATCACATACCAATACCTGCAGCATAGTTTCTAGTTAACCCAGCGTTTTCTGCAGAACAAGGACATCAAAACCACCGTCTCCATTCTCTGAAGCGGAAAAATTATGATGCTAGATTGTCATGGACTGATTGAGCTTGTCCTTTAGTTAAGTACTGATACACTAGCAATTTTACCGAAACTAGACCCTGTTTACTATCCTCAACTTCATGGAAATCCAATGACACAAATCCTGATATATACTCACAACACACTTTTGTTCATCCTCCTACTTATATGGACTTCTCACAATACGTCTGCCCCCAGATACTCTTCACGGCCATGTTTATCCTCATGCAAAAGAAAACCAATCATACCGAGGATCTAATTTCTTCTGTTTGGGTTTGTAAAAACTTGGAGTATACGAGTTACATTCCTCACTATTTTTCTTGTAATTAAATAAACTTAACCTGGACAAAGAGTCATTTCTATTCCAACTTTCCTCCTCTATAGAAGAAAGGAATCCATCAACCAAATCTTGATAACCATTTCCCAAAGAGGGCCATATAGAAAATGAATACACCCCAACTCCAAATTCCTATCCTTGATGAACACCTGGAAGAGAAAACATATACTCCTATTCAAGTTGTTTCCAAGACCCTCCTACAAAATCATAGTCTACGACTTTCTATATAGAGTTGCCAAAGATAACATCAATTGTGAATGGTGGATGTAGCTTCACAAGAATGGTATAGAACACTTTTAGGCCATAGATTAATGATGCTCGCTTCCCAATTATAATTAATGTTTGAAATATTTAGCTTTTTTATCCATAAGACTTTCTTCCACAATTTAAGAGCATAGAAAACCGCAAATCATTCCATGTCAAACACATTGTTAAGGATTAAAGAAAGCTAAAAGAAGTATGAAGTCACTTAACATATTGTGAAACTATAATGCTTTGCCAAAGTTTTTAACAAGATAAGAGGACAGAACAATGGCAAAAAAAAACTTACGGGAAGAAATGGCAGGATTGTAAGGGGTTCCATCTTCCTTCTTCAACAAAACTCTCACTCTTCCTCTTTGCATGAAATCTCGCGGATATGCCTTATCGAGCTGTTACAATCAATCAAGAATATAATTACAAACAAATTCTTTCTCAATCTTGTAAGTTCGCTGATTTAAAAGTTTAAAAAACATTAATAAAACAGTATTGTTCACAATTGCCATATTTTTTTTCTTAATGGCACATCTCATCCTTATAGGACCAAGGGTGCTCGACACATCACCACAATTGGTGCTTGACACATCACCACAATTAACTTCTTTCTCATAAGTAACAAGAACACTTTGTTAGCTTACCATCTTTTCCAGTGGGAGCATTAGACTGAATCAATCATCCGAAGATGAACTGATACGAATTAAAATAGAAGAGGTTGGAGCAACTGGTGGAGCTTGTACAAGAGGCTTGAAATGCTGCACCGTGAAGTTAGGGATAGGCTGATTAGTTAACAAGTTTACTTCTTGCAATTGATCCACTTAGTTTGCTTTATTATTTAATTAACCCATTGTAAGTTTTCCTTATTTCTTTCTAGTCCCTAGGCCCTTGCTCACATCTTTGAGCTATATGTATGAGTTTTACCCTTTTCAGAGGCTTATGAATGAAAACCCTTTTATTTTATTTGTCTTAATTCCTTTTCTTCTTAGCTTTAGCTTAGCCCTAGTTAGCTTCTTCTTCTCTAAAATTCAGCAACCGTAACAGTGGTATCAGAGCAATCATCCTCGCTCTGTGGGTAGTCACCAATGGCATTCCAAAATCCTCTTTATGTCCCTAAAGCCACTTTCAGTCACTCTTTACAAGCTGTTCTACCTGCTTTTCTTCCACAGGCGGCAATACAACATATCAATGTCATAATCCTTATGTTTATAGTAACCCTTATGGTTATAGCAATATGGGATATGAAAATTATAATGGTGAGTACCAGCAGCAATCCAATCAAAACCCTCTATACACTTCTAATTTCAGTCCACATCATTCTTCACAACCCATTGATTTTCAGTCCTCTCATTATCTGGATCACTCACCGGAGGTTTTCCATGGTTGGACTGCTGGAGTGGTTCCAGACAGAGGCTACGCTATGGGTTCCCAATCTGTCGAATTTCCGTTTGTTAAGAGGACTCCAACTATTATCGATAATAGTACCTGCAATTGCGCAATTTCTGCCATATCCAAGTCCTTTCCGGAGCAGACAAGAATGGTCGAAGCTGACCATGGACTGGGTCATCCAGCGAAGAACCTTGAATCGACGTCCTCATATGTTGTCGAATCTCAGAACTATCAAACCATATCTTTTCCTGCCTCAGGAGTCGCTACTAATCCTGACGTTTTTCACAAGGTTTGTATTTCTGAAACTCTTAATTTTGGCATCACTTCTGTATGCAACAAAGATAATAGTCCCACGCAAATGGAATTGGTGTCTGCAGAGTCTTCACCCTTTGTTGTGCATAGCAAAATGGTTTTTGGAACCCATGTGCAACAAGTGTTTGATGAAATGCCAATTACTGATCAACTAGAAAATGGAGCAATGGATTTTGTGGGAAAGACTTTTGATACTGATTCTAATTTTGAGAAGTCAATTTTGAACAATATTGGGGAGCAAGAAGAAATGGTGGTAGAAGCAGATCTTTCGATTCTTGAAGCTAAAGGTATGGGAATAGATGCAACGACTGAAAGTGAGACTGAAAAATGTGAGCCTATTGGGGAGGCAAAAGGATGCACGACCAAGGAGCTAGGACCAGTACTAGAAACGCCAACCGTAGGCGAGGCTTCAAGTGTTTCTAGTTCAACCAAATGTTTTTTCGAGAGTACTATGCTTCCTTCTGACGAGTATCAAGTAATGAATAAGGGAGTAGTAGTTCTTTCTAATGCAGAGCTGACTGGTTTTTGTAAAAATACACCTTCCTTGTTGAAGCCAAGTGACCAGTTTACTTTTACTAGCCTTCAGGGAAATGCAGAAAAATTTGACGAACCATGGAGAGAATGTGATGCATGTAGAGGGGGGAAATAGTTCCACTGGTTTCTGTTATTCTTCCGATGTCAGTTTAATAACTGAATTGGATGTTGCATTTACAAAAATCAGCTTAGAGAAGGCCACTAAGGAGGATCAGTATTCTCATGAGCTCAAGATTCCAATTTCTTCCATTAAAGATGAAGTTGAAAACCATCTAGAGTATCTCTTGTCAAGATTACTAATAGGCAAGTGCACTGTGGAGAAAGCTTGTGAAATAGCTATGCAGAAGGTGGTGAATCACTTTAGATCTGAGTTATTGAAGTGGCTAGATGAGATTTTGTTCCTTGATCTCATATCGCATGAGCAGCTAAGACAATTAGGCTGCTATGAGTTTTATCATATTAACTCAGGAATAGTTATTGCTAATGAACAATACTTTGAAATATTTTCTGAATTAAGAATGAACCATAAGAAACTTGAGGCAGTTGTTCTTGATAGTTTTTCTATTAAGAGCAGTTATGGAAAAAATTCAGAGGAGGCTAATATAGTTTTTTTTTTATACTTGAGGCAATTAGGGAGCTTCCAGATTCAATTGTGAATCATCTAGTCCTAGATCCAACTATTTTAGTGATGAACCACCTATTTGTTCTGGCATACCTAGGTATCCTGTACAATTCTCTGTCCCTTTTGGAATAAATGATATAGGAACCGGACATCCTGAGATGGCTCTGATGATTACAGGGACTTCTTATGTGCAAAATGGCTATCTTGAGGTGTTAGAAGAGCTGGTAAAGTATGAGCCTGTTGATATATATTCTATCATTTGGTGGATATTTTTTATTTCTTCTGTTTATGAACAAGCAGGCTTCCTGGGTGCTTCATTGTATACTAGTGACTGGCATATGGTACTATGTGATCTTTTTAGCGGTTTTATATTGTCAAAGGATGAATTTGGGAATTCTATGGTAGTTGACGATGCTAAGATTAGAGAGTGGAGTTTATTTGTCTGGCTGTTGGAATTAGCCTGCCAATTACCTTGTCCCTCATTTGATATTGAGATGTTGTGGAAGGGTAGTGGTGCACGCGTTATTCGATATTGTCCTGTTGATAAAAAATTGAAGCAACTGCTTTCAGGAGGAGAGTTGCTAACTATTACCATTAAAATTCTTCTTCCAGTGTTAGGAAAGAATCTTATGATTGGGGACTACTCTAATATCCTATTCGATCCATGTGTGGTTATTTATTCATTTTCACATATCATCCTTAAGGATAAGAGTGGATTGATGGGAAGGTGTGATTGGCAGAATCATGGTACTAGAGTTCGGAGTTGCTGCCAGGAGAGTTTTTACATCCACGAATTTATATGCAGTGAAAAACATAGTTTTGTTGTGTATTACTTTGCGCGTGAGCGCTGGTATAAAGGGTCACGGGAGAAAAGCTGTAGGCAAAGTTACCGAAGGTACACATCTAAGAATGGTGACACAAGGTGTGGTGAAGTGGACTCTAGCAATCTAAATAGTCCATTTCCCGCACTTACTGATGTGGTCCTTTGAGTCATTCATGCTGCTTGTAGCAATCTTATTTTGTCAGATCATGGGTGGGAAATATTAGAATCAAGTGCATGGGAGGTTGTCTTAGATCCTGAAATTGCCGGCTCAATATTTTTAGTTTATGGCATTGATAAAGGCAGTAATGCATGCCATTGTCTAGATGTTTCCTACAAAGTGGGACACTCAGTTGTTTTAGTGAAATACAAAGATGTTTATCCAAGTGATCCAGATCCTAGCTGGAGGAGCAGATACTCCAAGCTTTTCTTCTTGAAGTTCACTAAGATGAAGATGTCTATTTCGGAAAGTAGGAAGCAGATGATCCGAAAATAATTGTTGAGTAGTCTCACTGCGAGTTTCTTCAGTAGCTCACCCTATTTTACACGACACATCATGATTCCTCTTAGTTGTCTGTTTTGATGCCATGGTTTCCTCATTGTTTTTAAAGGATGCACTAATTTTCTAGCAAATTTACATCTTGTTATGATCTACATGATACATTTTGAAGCTCTTGATATACACAAAATATGTTGGGAGTACAATGTGCCTCAGGTGGTATTGATATTTTTTGCAATTATTCTTGTTTCTCTAACTCAATTAAGAGTTACACTGAAAGACATGGTCAATGATGAGAATTCTAAGCTGAACAATGGTGGTTTGAGGCCCAAAGCTTCACGTAGAATGGATTCCAGAAGACAGTCACAATTGTCATTTATTAAAGTCTCAGAACATAGTTTTAAAGTGATGTTCTTAGTTGTTTTGCGCCTTCATACATGTGTATTGAATTCTGGAAGAACACTGTGTATAATAAAGCTGGACGATCTACTATGAAAATGCTATCAGGGTACATGTTTCCATCTTCCCTTCCTTGAGGACAAGGAAGCTCTTAACGGGAGAGAACTGATACGAATCAAAATAGAAGAGGTTGGAGCAACTGGTGGAGCTTGTACAAGAGGCTTGAAATGTTGCACCGTGTAGTTAGCGATAGGCTGAGTAGTTAGCAAGTTTCCTTCTTGCAATTGATCCAGTTAGTTTGCTTTATTATTTAATTAACCCATTGTAAGTTTTCCTTATTTCTTTTTAGTCCCTAGGCCCTTGCTCACGTCTTTGAGCTATATGTATGAGCTCTACCCTTTTTCAGAGGCTTATGAATGAAAACCCTTTTATTTTATTTGTCTTAATTTCTTTTCTTCTTAGCTTTAGCTTAGCCCTAGTTAGCTTCTTCTTCTCTGAAATTCAGCAACCGTAACAGAAGGGGAAATATTACTTGGCTATGAATGTGTCGAATTATATTTCAAATTTATGATTATTATTCCTACATGAGTTATAAGTATAATTTGCACTTAGATTTAAGGGAAAAGGTCTAAAATTGCCCCTACTATACTATATTGTTTACTTCTGCCACTCATGATATTATTTTTTTCATTCTAGCACCTACCATTAATAAACTTAAAATACTTACCTCTATCCCTAACGGATCTACACCGTGGCAGTTGACCCACTCCATTTTTTTCATTTCAGCTGCCAAGTCACACGACCCCACCACATAACGACTATACACAGTGGTACCCAACCCCTCAATCAAATACCACATAAGCGTCCATGTCACTATTTTAATATTCACTTATTTACTCAATAAAAAAAAATTAAAATATATCCCCAACCCCAACCC